GCTGGCGTGGTGCATGCCACCACCTTTGGGACTTTGGGATTAGATGTATTTAGGATTTAGGATCTAGCATTTAGGGTTCGGGATTTGGGCTTCATGGTAAACCATTCAGGGTTCCTGGCTTTGCACGGCACAATTCACGAACAAACCCCGATTCAGAAACTAAAAGCCCTGATTCAGAAACTAAACTAAAATCCCCGATTCGGAAACTAACAGTTGCACGATTCGGAAAATGAAAATTACTGATTCGGAAACTCAAATTCACCGGTTCAGAATTCAGAAACTAAAAATCCACCATTCGGAAACTAAAAATCACCAATTCAGAAATTGACTGCAACTACACTTCTTGAAGCCAAGGGGGATGGGTGGGGCTTGCCGGGGGGTGGGGGTGGGAGGTAATCTCTTGCATTCCGAACCAGGGGTCATAGTTTACGAGCCAGGCTTTTCAGTTTCCGAATCAAGGTTTTAAGTTTCCGAATCACGCTGGTTTCCGAATCAGGGGCTTCAGTTTCCGAATCAAGGTTTGCAGTTTTCGAAACAAGGCGTGACCCACAATTCACAATGTGATCCAAGATTGCAGGCTTCATCACAGCGTTCGTTCATGGCTCTAGATGGCTTACGTAAGAATTTGTCCACAAAGTCAACAATGGTTTTCCTTCGTGTGATTGCTTTGAAAGGCTCCCGCAGGGTGAGACACAAACACATCAAAAGAATTGGCATCCTTGCAAGGAGCCAGCCCTCTAAAAAGACGTCACTACTAAGCACGCCAGGGTACGCTGGCAAGTGTACCCAACAACACCCAAAATTTGGACTTCGGGCCCCGAAGCTGAGGCACCCTACACTCCCTAAACTAAAACGCTCTGAGGTTTTACCTATGGGCCCTAGCATGGGCCCCTTGATACCTGTCATATACCCTGTGAATCCTTAGATAAACCCTGTCTTCCCAGGTTTAGGCTTGAATGGTTTGAGGTGACGACTGGCGGAGCCTCCAAGCGCGACGGAAAAGACGCGAGGCCAGCCGCTGACGTACTTGGCCTGCTTGGAGGTGTATGGTCAACCAGCAGCCCACATTAAACAGAAGCTGTAACCCAATGTAACCGCACCATGAAACTTAGATGGTTTCAGTTGGGCTATAGTTCAAGCCATGGCATAAGCTAAGGAGCAAAAGCGCCACCGTGGGTCAGGGAGCAAGTTCTTTAGGGTTTAGGATTTAGGGTGCGAGCAATGATGGTGGTTTAAACCCGTGACATAAGGAAGCAGGGATTAAACAGTCCATGAATATGATGAAGGTCATTCGGCGCCTGAGGCCCAACCCCTAAACCCGGGACTCGACAATCCTGAGCTTTGACCTGCGGACAACAAACCCTGAATCCTAACTAAACCCTAAACCCACAACCCAAAATTGCTTGAACCAGGAAGGCCTCGAAGCCTCAACCCTGAATCCTGAAGCAAGCCCCATGCCCAAAAAGCCCTTCAACCCAGAAGCCCTAATTCTTGAAGCCTCACTTGGAGGTCCACACGTTTAGGGACTAGTTTAAACTTAGGCCTTTAAACGCAACCTAGGTCACTACACTTATTGCAGCCTCTGTTCAACTGGAGATACTAGTGCATATCACATTTAAAATGTTGAGATACCATCAGCTCCAAGTATCCCCCCCTAAACCCTAAACCCTAAATGCCCATACACCTTATAACCTCCCGGAGAAAAAAAAAAACTAAGCCCCAGTATCTGGCCTTGCCGTGGCAGGGAAAGCCTCCGCTCTTCCAGCCACTCCTCCCGCAGACACGCTTCTCGAGCCGCCCCTTGAGGTTGGCTCCGTAGCCTCAGCGGCTGTATGGGTTTAGGGTCTAGGGGTTTAGGGTTCAGGGGGATGAGGGGTATGGGGTTTAGGGGTTTAGGGTGTTGAATGTTTAGGGCTTTTCTGGGCAGTCAAACTTAAAAGTTGGTGTTTAGGACTCATAGATTTAGGGGGTTCCGGGCTTGAAGTTGCAATTTTGGGTTTGGGAAGTTTCTTTGTCTGCTGCATGGAGCACAGCTTGGTTGGTGGCTGGCTGGGGCTGTTTTCGCGCGTAGGCGTTGGACAGCTTTGAGTTTAAACTGTCGTCATCGTGTTGGACTTTGTGTTGCGTGGCTTCAGGCTTCAAGTAAAAATAATGGCAAGGGTAATAACGGTATTGGTAATGATAATCATGACGGTATAATTATGGTATTCTATCACATCTATCCGTTGAGACCAAGACTTATGGAAGCATGCTGTGCGGTTTCGGCAAATTAGATCTCATGTTTGACCCGTAAACCCAAGAAACAAACCAGCATACCAGAGAACGGCCTGGTGGCCAGCATAGTGAAAAAAGTGGATGTGGAACTGATTGATGCTGCGGTGACCTGGGGGGTTCACGATCAAGGCACAGCTGCTCCCGCCGCAGCGCGAGTGAGCTGCGTCCATGCCTTCACAAATTTATAAAGGATGGTTCTTTGGGAACCCTTTCGTGTTTATTCCGCGATAGGAAAGTGTAAAAGAGGACCCCTGCCTTGGTTGTAGTATCCGAGATTGTTGCCGTGGACGTTTTCGATGCCTCTTCCGCTGCCCCACATCTTGTCGCCACCAACCCACCAGCCACGACCGGACTTCTCTGCACTGCCGCATGACACATCCTTGGGTATGCTCTTTGCTATGTTGCAACAGTATCCAGGCTTCGTGTCCCTAAAATGCAGGCGAACTTCACCAGTGCTATATGAGAAGTACAAACCTACTGCAATGTTCTACGTAGCTTCCGTTTCCAGAGCGACCAGTTCGCCCTCTGGGTCTATCTCCTCGACGGTGGCGTCAACATACTCCGGCTCCTCATGTTCCTCGTGCTCCTCGTGCTTCGTGCCATTCATGCTGTTCGTGTGGTTGGCAGGCTTAGCGCTTCCTGGGAATGTCTCTGCAAGCAAAACAGATACCCTTATAATAGGGCAGCCAGCTAGAAATGCGGAGTGCAACAAGATTGCCAATGCCCCTCTTGAAGGCCCCATAGTCCCCCTTAAGTAGACAGAATATGGCGTTGGATATATTATAATAAGATCCCCATTCATACCTCACTGTTCTATCTACTTAAGGGGGACTATATATAGGGGGTGAAAGTCCCGCCTGTCGTCTGCAGGGAGGCTTCAGCCAGAACCACGGCACCGAGCAAAAGGATTTTCATGGTCATCGCCATGTTACCCGGGCAAATTGCTCTAGGCTTAGTCGGAACAGAGCGAGCCTACATTCGCGGTTTGGAGGTTAAGGGGTTGATCAGTTTTTCTTTTCCCTGCTTTAAGGATCGCAGGGTTGCAGGCCGGGATCAAAGTCTATAGTCCCCCTTAAGTAGATAAAATATTATGGCTTTGGGTATATTAGACTAAGATCCCCATATACCCCATATTCTATCTACTTCAGGGGGACTACAACCCTAAACCCGAAATCCCTTATTCTATCTACTTAAGAGGGACTTTAGGTTGAGATTCTGAGGAAAGGGAGTCTCAGTCAGGACGTTTTTGCAGGTCCGTGCAACTCTGCGGAGATGGTAGAGCTCCTAGAAGATAGTGGGTTCATCAAGGCCCCACCACATTAATACCCAGGCTTAGGGTTTAGGGTTTAGAGTAGCAAGACCATCATGACGGGCCTGATGAATCACAGATTTCCGTCAAAACATCATCTTTAGCCTTAGGTTGTGGCCTTCTTATCGCTTTTGTGCCTTGCTTCCGCGGGAGCCAGCACCCCCGCTGTCAAGCTGGCAGGGCCGACTACACTTACATGACCCATTTCTGATCTCTTTCTTGTTTGTCGCCTCCTAAACCCGGAAGAAAACCTCCCCCATACAGCCTAAACCTGTTGTCTTGGGGTGGATCATCCGATGCAGGCTGAAGGTCTGATGGGACATGTGCGAAAGGGTTTAGGGTTTTGGGTTTGGAACGGTGGAGCAACGGTACTCCTGCCCCACTGATAACGAGGAAGGGCAACTATACGTGGGCAAAATTTCTTCAGCTGTACACAAGTTATCGCTACCCTTGACCGTCACGAGGGAGGTGCTGTTTCGGCAGTTCATCCAGGTAAGATCAGCTTCTTCTTTTCGGTCAATCAACATGAGAGCAGGACTACTCTCAGATCAGGGAACATAGCCTCCCTACGTTGAATGCTAATGGCGTGCGTTGCCAAAATCCCAGAATCGACGCGACAGAAGCGCCATCATTGCAGTTTCTCAAAACAGGCGCCATGTCATCGGGATGTTAAGATCCCTTTTGACGATCATTTTAATCCGTTATGAGTCTTCATACGGCAAATCCTGACGAGGCAGCATCATCTCACCCATTCTCCACCCCCGACCCTCTGGGAAGCACCCACTTCAAACAGTAGGCTTTAGGTTTCTCCAAGAGCTCGAGCTTCTCGGTACCTGAACCTAAAACACTCGGGCACCAGAAATAGTAATAGTAGCAATAATGATAGTTATGATGATAGTAATAACAATGAGTAGTACCAGTAATACTAGTAGTACTGGTCCTAAGGGCTTCGGCGGATGAAGGAATCCTTTCTCCACATCAGGCTCAGCAAGTTTATTCAGCTGCTGTCGAACTTGACTAATTACGGAACAAGTTCCTGGTGCTTCTAGCAAGGAATGAGCGATGGGATCTCAACAGACAGCCTTATCGCAACGCTGGAGTTGCTCTGTATGCTGACATGAACATTCTTTCTGACATGACCATTCTGGCCCCGTTCTCTCACTCCCTACTAAGCAGCAGGCGGACCAGCCAGCCGCACAAAAAGGAATTGTGACTCACGACCAACGGAGGAAGGAGAAGCCGTAGAAGGCATGCCGAATTGCTTGCACGTTTCTCAAAATGGGGGGCATCCTATGTACCCCAGAACAGTGGGATCCTTGTTGTAAAGACGCCCGGCTCCCATTTATTTGGAGAAACCTATACCATTTTGAGCACTACTTGTCTCTATCGCTTGGAGGGGTCATAATCCCCCCGGATCTGGTGCTCAATGCTGCAGCCATAAGCAAGCTGGACGATGGTTCCACGGTTGCCACCTGCATCCCTAGACCCTCACGGTTACTCCATGCCCCCTGACTAGCATGGAATCCTATGCACCCTCCTTTGAAGAGTACTTATTCTTTTTAGGGCCCTTCTTGGTGTTCCACGCCACTTTCTTGGGGGAGGGTTGTTTAAAGTACGCGTTTCGCCTCAAAAGCACCGTTCTTCAACTGAGTAAGCAGCACTTCAACATAACGCTCTGAAAGGACATATACAAGTGGCAAACCTTTCACTGTGCTACGCTTGAAGTAGGCTCTGTGTTCCTCATACAGCTTACGGCAAATTTGAGGTGGTTTGTTGCCAGTGAAGACCTCTTAGTTCAAATTCCAAGCTCTGAACCCAAGGCTCTAAACTTAAAGCCTAAACCCAAAGCCCAAAACCTGAAAGGTAGTTCCCATAAATAGCGGGAAGCCAATACAGACTGCCAATTGCTATAACCCTTATCACAGGACACCTCCCCGCCCCCCCCTCCCCCCCCAAAAAAGTATCGAACCCTCATTTTTCCTAATATAACACCGTACAACCTTTGTTTTTCATTGAATTGTCTGTTTTCCTGTCCATCTGATTCTCCGTTGTTGGCGTGCTATATGCCTGAACTCTGGAACCCATAAACCTTCAACCCTAAACCCTTAAACCCTAAACCCTCAAACCCTAAACCTTTAAACCCTTAAACCCTCAACGGTATCCCAGCCGCATGCGCCGGGCCAAGCAATCACGCTGGCGTGGTGCATGCCACCACCTGCGAGGCTCGAGGATGGGACCTTATAGTCCCCCTTATGTAAATAGAATATAGGGTATAGTGGTTATAGGGTGACAGTCCCTTAAGTAGATAGAATATGGGATTTAGGGTTTAAGGTTTAGGGTTTAGGGTTATAGTCCCACTTAAGTAGATAGAATATGGGATACATGGGGGCCGTAGTATAAGATACCCAAAGCCATATTCTATCTACTCAAGAAATAGAATATAAGTTATAGGGGTGAGGGTTTAGGGTTATAGTCCCCCTTAAGTAGATAGAATATAGGGTTTAGGGATTAGGGTTTAGGGTTAGAGTCCCCCTTAAGTAGATAAAATATGGGATATATGGGGATCTTATTATAAGATACACAAAGCCATATTCTATCTACTCAGGGGGGACTGTAAGGTTTCAGACTTTCCCTTTGCATCTAAGGATTCACATTGGAAGGATTTTGGGCCCACAGACCATGTTAGATAAGGTTGTTAGGGGATGTTGATGCTTAGGGTTTAGGTGTACAAAGCATGCACTGAAGTATGTCTTGAGATGGGTGAACTTACCTTGTGATGGTGGGCTCGGGGCTTTGACTTTGGCATCCTGAGGCCTACTTAACATGCCAGAGTCAGGGTTTAGGGTTTAATCGACAAGAGTCGAAAGAAATCCTGCTTAAGCTCATATACCTAGATTCTGGGATTCAAGGTATTGATCTTGAGGTGGGAAGTGATCGATACAGCCCTAACCCTAAAAGGGGATGGTTTGGGTGGTAGCCCTTGATACCTATCCCACAGCAAGTGGGAGTTTTGTAAAAATGTTCCCAGTTTCGATGGATCCTGAAAAAACATTGTGCGATTGTCGCTTGGCGCAGGATGTGCCGCTACCCACAGGGGAGTGGGGCGGTGCCGTCTGTGCGCGTTGAGATCATAATTGACCCTAAACCTTAAACCATAAACCCAAAAACTCTATACGCAAAACCCTAAACCCTAAACCCATAGGGGGAAGGGGATTCCGTGTGAGGTGATCCCAAGCGAGGCCTCCAAGCGCGACGGAAAAAACGCGAGGCCAGCCGCTGACGTACTTGGCCTGCTGCTTGGAGGTGTAGTGGATTTAGGGTTCAGGATTTAGGGCTTAATTAGGGTATAGGGTTTAGGGCTTAGGGTTATAGTCCCCCTGAAGTAGATCGGAATGGACCAACATTATCATAAAATCCCCATATACCTCATATTCTATCTAAGGGGGACTGTAGTTGAAGGTTCAGGGGGACTTAGTGAGTGAAGGGTTTAGGGTTCGGGTTTGGGGTCAGGGAGACTTAGTAAGTAAGGGCTTCGCGTTTAGGGTCAGGGGGACTTGGTAGGATTCAGAGTGTAGGGCCGGGGGGCATTTGTAAGTTGATAAACCCTGTAATCCAAAGAGTGACCCCGCTCATCTCCATGTTTAGCCTACTTTTTAAAATCTCCCCGGCCCTCCAAGCTCTGCTAATTACAAACCCCACACTAAGTGTAGGTAGAACCCAGTTATCATCACATTGGGGGACTTAGCGGGCGCAAGTTGGACTATAGCTCTAAATATGGCCTGGGCCTAAAGGCAAAAACTTGCAAGGGATCTATTTGGATTATCAGGGGAGTATGGGGGGGTTCCTTAATAGGGATTCTAGAAAGATAATTTCGAGAAATGCCGATGTGGCAGTGGGGGTTCTCTGTGGCTACTATACTTCCTCCTAAGAAGAACTAATAAGACAGGGTTTAAGGTTTACCTTAACGCGGCATTATACAACATATACAAGAGGGTCCTGAAACGAGGCTCTCCGAGCTTAATCAGGATTGAAGAAGCAACTGAATGTTTGGACATTTTCCCCTGGCAGTCGCAGTCCTTAAAGGGGCTTTGTTAAGGGCCTCACCTACTATAACTTCGACTACCTATTGTGGAATCAATTACTGTAAGGGGGAAGACCTAAGTGAAAATTCAATTAGCATGAATTAGCAGCCTAAACCCTAAACCCTAAACCCTATGGCCCTGAAGTGAGGTCCTAAACGGGCATGAGATTTTAGCTTAGTTCATGGTTTAAGGCTGTAGGGTTGTAGCTTATGTTTTAGGAGTTTCGGGGCTTTAGTATATCAAGGAGCAACATCAACAAAAATAGAAAATCAACATCCTGTACCCAACCCCTAAGCACGAGATCCCAAGACCTTCAATGCTTCAGACGGACAACCCTAAATTTTAAGCCCTAAACCCAAAAGGCCTGGAGCCCGTAACCCAAATTCCAAACCAATTTTTTCCAGCGCCCCCAGCGCCCCTAGGCCCTGAACCCCCAACCCTTAATCTTAAGTCCTAAACCCTAAACCCTAGACCCTGAATCCTATAAGTCCTAAACCCTAAACCCTGAATCCTATAAGTCCTAAACCCTAAACCTTAAACCCTGCATCCTATAAGTCCTAAACCCTAAAACCCTGAATCCTATAAGTCCTAAACCCTAAAACCCTAAATCCTATAAGTCCTAAACCCTAAACCCTCTAAATCCTTAAGCCTTAAACCCTAAATCCTATAGGTCCTAAACCCTAAAAAGCTAAAACTGTGCCTTGCCATGGCATGGCAGGCCACCACTCCTCCAGCCGCTCTTGCCGCAGACCCGCCTTTCAAGCCTGCCTTTGAGGTTGGAACCATAGCCTCAGCTATGGTCTAGGGTTTAGGGTAAATTGGTGTTATATAGGGATAGTGGACAAGAAAATGGAAACTACTATAGTATACTGCGGTTCTACTGGGGTTCTATAAAAGGTTGAGGATTTAGGGGGAAGGGGTTTGGGGCTTCGGGTTCAGGGTTGAGGATTCAGGGGTCAAGCGTTTAGGGTTTAGGGCGTAGGACTTAGGGCTTGTGTGGAAGTTGAGATTTGCTTCATGGCTTTGGCTGCTTTAGGGGCTTCAGGGTTTAAGCCTCATGTAGAGCTTAGGGTTTGGGTTATTGGGCTGCTTTAGGATGTAGATTTGGGGATTTTAGTTAACTGGCTGGTAAAACTTTATTTGTGACTACCTTCCCTGTCTTCCCTGTTGCAACAGCTGGGATTTGGAAATGACTAAAAGCGCCACCTACTTAAAATGAAAGGTTTAGGTTGCAGAGTTTCAGGTTCATGGTCTATGAGTCTTCAACATAAGAGGATCCCAACAAAGCAAATCAACAACAAGTCTGTGAGTGGAGTGAACAGCCTAGACACCAGCATAGTGAAAGAAGTGGATGTGGAACTGATTGATGCTGCGGTGGCCGGGGGGGTTCACGATCAAGGCACAGCTGCTCCCGCCGCAGCGCGAGTGAGCTGCGTCCATACCTCTGGAAATTCCATAAAAGATGGTCCCGTGTAAAAGGATACAGTGCAGGGTTTGCTTCTTCCGCAAAAAGGAAATTCAAAAACAAAAATACCGGCCTGAGTTGTAGTATCCGACATTGTTGCCGTGGACGTTTTCAATGCCCCTTCCGCTGCCCCACATCTTGTCTCCACCGACCCACCAACCACGGCCGGACTTCTCTGCACTGGCGCATGACACATCCTTGGGTTCTCTCTGATACGTTTCAAAAATCCTACTTCAAGTCCCCTAAAATGGTCGAATCATAGCTATGCTCGGAAGAAAAAAACGCTGCCGCGTTCTACATAGCTTCGGTTTCCATCATGACCAGTTCGCCCTCTGGGTCTAGCTCCGCGACGGTGGCGTCAACATACTCCTGCTCCTCATGCTCGTCGTACTTTGTGCCGTTGGTGCTGTTTGTGTAAGTGGCAGGCTTAGCGCTTCCTTGGGATATCTCAAAAGACAAAGCTCGGGAGACATGCGGCCCTCTTAGGGATCGCATATGGGGATCTTTTGAGAGAATCCCGCCTGTCGTCTGCAGGGAGGCATCAGCCAGAACCACGGCACCAAGCATGAGGATTTTGGTGATCATCGCCATGTTGCCCGGGCAAATTGCTATAGGCTTTTTAGGAAAAGAGCGAGGCCACCGTCGTGGATCTTGAGTCAAAAGCTCAAAAATGCATGTCGGTCCAGATTTCGATTTAGGTCATGGCATCTAGGCTGAACAGTTGCCCGAGAAATGTCCCTGATCGGCGTGCTGCCCTGGACCAGCACCATCACCCATGTGAGTGCCCGGCAAAATGAGCCCCCACTCGAAGAAGACTTTTTCGTTCAGCGGAGTTCCGTTCAGTGTAAGAGCAGTACCCTAATGCAACAAGTCCAAGATGCATGCTTCTGCTGGCCTCCCTTATGTACACCAAAAATGCTATCACCCTTCATATGGCAACTGTGACGTCTTTTTTCTTAAAGGCTCCATCTTGCCGCTGCAGGGGACAGCCCTTTAAATATAATCCAAGGGAACCCCCGTTGTAGCCACACGTAGAATGATCCCTGCCTCACAGAGACCTCTAAGCATCTCCTGGGGTAAAACAGGGGCCATTTAATTAGAATAGAGTTGTGGGCTGTGGGGGGTATATTGTAATATGATTATATGGGGATTATAGGGCATGATATTGGTCATAATTATTCAGGCTTCTACAGTAATACTATCCACGCCCTCCAAGCCCGCTAGCCCATTCCGCCTGTCTCCATATCCGTCGTTGTCGCGACCTCTGCCGCCGTTGCAGGAGCCTGATTTCAGATTCCGCGGATCGCGCGGTTCCGAGGTGTGTATTGAGAGTGTATAGGCTTGGGGCTTGTTAGAAGTTTCGCCTTCGGGAGATCGAGAAATCACAAAAACACAGCGAAGAAAACCGCTGAATCATTCTCACAGCACATGACTTCAGATGCTCCTCCCTCCTATGACTGTAATACAAGCTGCCTTCAAAGCATTCAACTAGGCTTCATTACCGAAGATGTGCCATGTGATCAACTAACCATATCCTGCATAGCGTCAAAGAGTTGAAGGGCATTTGAAGCAATCCGGCCATCACTCGCGAGCTCCTCTCACATAATCTCCACCCCCTACGATTGAAACCACCACCTCCAACAGGCTACAGTACAACACAATGGTGTTTATCTTTTTTTTTGTGAGGGGTGGGGGGGGTTTTCGGCACCAGAACAAGGGGATCATATACCCTAACGTAATCTGTAGTGTAAGGACCCGTCATGTAGAAAATTCACTAGTTCGAATTCCGCTTGCGAATCCCACAGGGAACAAGTTGCAGGAGCAGGAAACACGTGTCACATTGGGTTGTTTAGAAGGTCCAACTTTCCGAGGAAAAAGCTAATCCAATTTGGTAGCAACTTCTTCGTTGAAGACCTGCAAGCAACCTGGCCAAGAACTGGTAGAACTGGTAATTAGTGCCCAAATGCTTTGGCTGAGTACACTACCGTCCTGCGGAATGCATGTTGAAGGACCCCAATCCCATCCAACCCCCAAACAGAGCCCCTTGTCTTTTTGGAAGGGCACATTCTTGTGGATGCTCCGAGCAAACCTGTGCTGGTAGATTGAGGGGTGCTAGCTGACTAGGTTGAGGACTTGGACCTCAGGGCTCGAGGCTTGGGTTAATAGGGGCCGGACACAAGGGCCCCTCATTCTGGGAAACTCTTATTTGAGTTCGACGTTTAAGTTGGCAACGGAAGACGCCCTGTACCGAAGCATCCCATGTCCTGAAACCCGAAACTTACCCTCCCAAGAATCCAGGTACCCAAATCTTGGGGTTGTAGATACCAGAAACCATTTAGATTGGCATTTTGGGGCTAAATCAACCTGTGTATTATTGGGATATAGTCTAAGCTCCCAATTCCCCTGATAATACTCCTCCCTATATGCCCCCCTTCATGAGTTTAGACTGTAGCTCGTTTGGATACCTGGACCCTCAGGGCCGGCACAACTTTGCGCCTGCTGCGTTGCGGCAGCTGAAGGTTTGGAAGCTGTTGGGGGTCCTCTCACACCACAGAGCTTTACCACCTGAATAAGAACTTCCGTTTTCCATGTTGCCTCTATATACATATATATATATATGTTCACATACACCCCTATATACCCCAATCGTGCCCCAAAATGTTCTAAAATCCCTCTATGAGGGTACGTATATAAAAATATAAATCTAGATCCACAACACTGTTGTGACACCTTCTTAGCGGCCGGATAAAAGCATGTTTAGGGTGGAATTCCGGCTTTCAGGCAGCTTTCTGCAAACGGTACCAAGGCTTGAAACAACAGGTCTAAGCAATGAGCGGAACGTTTGAATCAACACGGATCGCCCCTTCCTCCTCAGCGCCATTGCTTGAAACTTGGAATCAACAAGCCCAAATTTGATTCAGGACCTTAGGACCTAGGCCTGTAGTTGTGATGAACTTCCTAGGGTGTTCAGAGTGTGCGCCTGCCAGGGGCCTGATGATGCAAGGCCCCCTAAACCCTAAACCCTCAGACCTAAATAGTAGTTTCCATTTTCTTTTCCACTGTGCCTATATAACCCCTTATATATGCCCCTATATAACTATATAACCCCTATAGAATCCCTATAATTCCTGTAGTTTCCATTTTCTTTTCCATTATCCCTATATAACCCCTTCAATTCAATCTACTTAATGGGGACCACAGACCCCTGAAACCAAGGACCTTCAGCCCCAACCTCCAACCTCGAGCTTCCAAACCCTGTACCCATGGGTTTAGGGTTTAGGGTTTAAGGTTTAGGGTTTAGGGTTTAAGGTTTAAGGTTTAGGTTTTAGGGTTTAAGGTTTAGGGTTTAGGTTCACTTGGAGGTTCATGGGAAGTAGTAACTACTTATAACTGGGCTTATCATCCCACTTATGACCCCTCTAAATCACCTTATAGGGGTTGCCCCAATTATAAGTAGGGTTATAACCCCAGTGATAAATGGTTACTAAGTCCCATGAACCTCCAAGTAGCCCCCTAACCTCCAACTTCAAGGCCTGGCAGCAGAAGCACCCGTATAACGCCGCTAGCAGGATCCGCAGCCCAGCCCTGTACGGCTAGAGTGGCGCCATCCTTGCCAAATGCTGTCCAAAAATGGGGTGCCTATTATAATGTGCTATAATAAGAGATTGTGCTATAATATACGATAATATACGAGATTGTCGTACTATAATGTACTACAATGTACAACAAGGTACTCTGGAGTCGGGACATGTCGGGACTATTTTAGAGTCCCCTGCTTATGCAATAATCAATGTCTTCATAGAGTATAGGGAGGGCTCTAGGGAAGTATTGGAGTGGACTTCGAGTGATGGTAGCGAGTACAAGGATTTGTAGAAGGAGTAAACAATTGGCGGTGGGCAGAAGAGGGTTCGAAACCCCCACAACACATAGAGCCCAGAAAGAGACCCGTACAAGCGCCCCTTCTTTTCCATGAGGCCCATATGCAGGTTTTCGAAAGTTGGGCGTCCAAGGCTCACAATAATCATGTATTATTTTGTGTTGTATATTGGGGATTCTCTTCCTGGAAACCCTCGTATAAGGTCTCAGGCTTTTTGTGGAGGACACTGCCTCTCAAGATCAACCTGCGGGAAGTAAGCATGAGCAACTGATAAAGACTCAAAGACTCAAAAGATCCGGCAAAAAACCTCCAGATATGATAATACAAAGTGGCCATCCATGCCTCTGATCCTGGCGGCATACAGTCCAGCTCGCACAGAACAACCCTTGAGTCACATGTCCCCATGTAACTCCTACGTTAGGAATGCTGTTGACTATCATCTGGCTGTAGCATATTTCAAACCTCCTCGAAAAAAAGAAGCACAGTATGAAGGTTTACTGTAGGAGCCTGCAAAGTCTTGCCGCCAGCTATGACCTTGACGCCGGATAGCCCAAGCTCATCGCAAAGCCTCACTTGGAAATCCATGGGTATGCCATTCCCGCTTGCAGTAACAGTTGCCACAAAAAATAAAAGGAGTTACACTAAACCCTCAACCTAAACCCTAGCTGAAGGACAGTTCCTGGGAGGTGGGAATGACCCAACGTATAACCTACTTCTGACTGTACTTGAAGGTTCCAGGAATTTGGGTCCCATAATGACGATTACAATCTGTTTAAGGCGACCCTAAAAGGCGTCCCTATGAGAAGGATTGTAGCATTTTGAGGTGAACACATTGAAGTCCCCCTGTTGATTCATGAACATGCCACCTGTGATTACCATAACCCAGCTAAACCCTAAACCCTAAAACCCCAAAGCTATAATTGGGTGAGCTACAGCCATAGCTGGGCTTCAAACACCCAAGGACCTCCACACCCTAATCCCCAAACCCTATAGTCCCGCTTAAGTAGATATGATATGGGGTATATGGGGATCTTATTATATACCCAAAGCCATATTCTATCTAATTGCTTGAGGGGGACTATAACCCTAAACCCTAAACCCTAAATAGTAGTTTCCGTGTTCTTTTCCATTATCCCTATATAACCCCTTAAATTCTATCTACTTAAGGGGGACAATATAGACCCTGAAGCTGCGTGGGCTTGAGGCATTGAGCTGAGTCTGCTTTTGGGTTTCCATACGACATAGATTAGGGTTTAAGGTTTAGGGTTTAGGGATGGGGTTTAGGATTCCACGAACAGGAATTCAGCTTCCTCAGTTAGGGCTTAGGCTGTAGGTTTCAGGCTAGGTCCCCAGAAACTCCTTGGGTTTGGGCCATTTGGGCCCACCCTACGCTTCATATGTCTTGTCACCCACAAGTTACCCCGTTCATGCCAATATTGAATACCCCCCCATCCCTCAAATTATAGAGAGGGATGCATGCCAGGCCCATTTTTACATCACCATACGTCATACAAGCTGAAACCAAGTAAGTCCTTGCAAAAGACCTTAAGCGTTGGGGGTGGGGCATATTTAATGTTAGGGGTTTAGGGGGTTTAATATCAGCGTGGCTTACTGGTGGTTAGCAGGGAAAGAGGGAGTATAAGCCCTGTATAGTCCCAATTATATATATATATATGGATCCCTGTGTTCCCTACTAAACCAAGTGAATTGAAGG